TTAGTTTATTCATATTCATTTATATACTTATATATTTAATTTATATTTTCATTAATATTTCTACTTCAAAGTAGTCTGTTTCTATTTCAATGATTTATTTGATAATGAAGCATATCCATAACTATTTAGAAATTTAGCGTACATTGTGTACCAATGCCTGACAGGTGAAGAGACTAGAATAGTTTTGGGAATAGTAGTGCCATGATAACAGAGTCTTCCATGAAGATTAATTAGTTCCATCCACATTCAAAGCCTTTCCATGTGAATGTAACTGTTACACGGTGAGCTCTGCTTCCTGTATTTAAACACTTCAATGGATTTTGTTATTTATCTTCAGTTCTCAGCCACCCAGCAAATCAGATTCTTATTGTCAGAAGTTCTGACTACCATTCCGTAATGAATTAAAAATAAGGAGGCAGGAAAGGCATGGCTTGAAGAAAATTCTCCATTTAATAAGCTCTTTCCTCATTATATCTGTCATAAGTCAGGACATTACTTCTAATTGAATAAGAATTATAGCTAGTTTTTACATAAATTTTCCAAATATTCTTCCTTTTATTTGTCTAGTTCACCTGCAAGTATTATTTCCAGGAATTTTGTAAGTTTTTTCCTACATTTTCTGCTGCATAAAGAATATTTTTCTGACTAGTTCTGCCTTTTCCTCATTGATTATTATGAGCCTTTATGGAACAAAGAAAAGCTGTGAAGGCCTTTTGCAGGCCATATTTTTCTCTACATTATATCTATCACTGAAACCAACGGAGCATACGAAAGAGAAGAAGAGTCCACACAAATAGAATAATAACTCCTTCAGCTTTCAAGAGAAGAGATTGCTGGAAGATGTCACTAAATTATTTAGTGATAAAGTGCTTTTTTTTCTTGTGGAAGACCTCACAGTTAGAACTACTTTTTTGACATTTGTGTTAACTACAGAGAAAGAAATTACTGCTTGCTCTTGATCAGAATAGGTGAACTAATAAAGCTTACTTATCCAATAAAATACCCTGCGATTAAAATGGTAAATAACAATGGTCACTTTTTTTTTTTTAATATGGAGCCTATCTGATTTTGCAAGGAGTATGAGTTTCCTTTTAGTTAACATACAACTATTGATAGAGAAAGAAAATGCTTCTCTCTCTCTATTTCCAGATAGCTTTCAGTTAACATTTTATTTTAGTATGATCACTTGTGAATATTACAGTCTTGTGGGACAAACGGCAGGATTCTGTGCAGTCTTATATACAGTAGTGTCATGGAATAGCTCTATCTAGAAACTTCTGATAATAATACCTGAGTTTGCCGTGAGCCCAAATGAAGTGAAATTGACCATGAAAAAATACATTCTCTGATCTGATGAAGTCCACCTCTGTTACTACACAGCAAGATGTCCCTCACACACCCGTTTGCCACAGTCATTACACCAAACATTTAGAATCATAGAATCATAGAATTGTTTAGGTTGGAAAAGACCTTTAAGATCATCCAGTCCAACCATTAACCTAACATTACCAAGTCCACACTAAACCAATTAAGTGTAGACTAGACTAAACCATGTCCCAAAGTGCCACGTCTACCCGTTTTTTGAACGCTTCTAGGGATGGTGACTCCACCACATTTGTAATGGCATGCTATTACTAGAAGTTCATGCAAGCTGCCTTTGCCAAATTACCCAAAGTAATTTGTTTCTGTCAGCTGCTATACCATACACCACCATCTTAATGTAAATTTTCTCCTCTTAGCTGAAATCTGTATTGATTGAAATCTGTATGTTCAGCACAGAGAGTAAATTCCAAACAATGGACAGGCTGTTGTGCTATGAGATTCTTCAACTACTATGACCCAGAAATTAAAGGTCTGATTAAATTCTCCATAAAACTTGTATTATATCACTGACTAGTAAGTCCTAACTTTTATCAAGGTCTTGTTAATCACATATTTTGTAATTTTTGTCCCAAGTAATTTAAAATTTTCAAATACTTTGACTTGGAAATGTTCAGCAACATTTTTTCTTCCATCTGATTTCAAAAACTAGGAAAGGAAACTGAGTATAAGACAAAACCACACTGTGGAGTGAAAATATTAATTGCATTCAGTGACTTCACTAATAACTGCAGTTATTGTACTCTAGGCTCACTTACATTTGGTGAATCTTTCCTGTCTAAAAATCTAAATGATGCTTCTATATCACTAACTGGACACAGCTGAATAGTTACTTATCATCTGAGTAACTTATGAATAGTAAGCTCCTCATAAACACTTAGAGCTTTATTCTCCTTTCATATCTATTACGAATATAACCTCACTCATTCTAATACAGCTGCACCTGACTTAAACATTTAAAAATTAGACTAGAAATTCAGACCCTTCATTTTCTTTGTTGTAGTATTTGAATGGCACCTTTTTAGGAAAAAAACATCAATGGAAACTCTCAGAGAATAGGAGGGTGTATTTCAGACCTGTAAGTCCCTGGTACTAATGCATCATTCCTTCACCTGCCTGATGTATTCTCATAGAAAGACAGTGAGCTGGAAACTCTTGGTACTGACTATGTTTATTGTCTCCTTTTTCAAAAACCTGCATATGAAGTTTCCTTACAAAAAGAGCCCAACCACAGTACAGGCTTGGGGAAGAGTGGCTGGAAAGCTGCCTGGCCAAAAAGGACCTGCGCGTGCTGGTTCACAGATGGCTGAACATGAGCCAGCAGTGTGCCCAGGTGGCCAAGAAGGCCAACAGCATCCTGGCTTGTGTCAGGAATAGTGTGGCCAGCAGGAGCAGGGAGGCGATTGTCCCCCTGGACTCGGCACTGGTGAGGCCGCACCTGGAACACTGTGTCCAGTTTTGGGCCCCTCAATACAAGAAAGACATTGAGGTGCTGGAGCATGTTCAGAGAAGGGCAACGAAGCTGATGAAGGGTCTGGAGCACAGGTCCTATGAGGAGCAGCTGAGGGAACTGGGGTTGTTTAGTGTGGAGAAGAAGAGTCTGAGGGGAGACCTTATCACTCTACAACTACCTGAAAGGAGGTTGTAGTGAGGGGGGTGTTGGTCTCTTCTCCCATGTAGTTAGTGATAGGATGAGAGGAAATGGGCTCAAGCTGCGCCAGGGGAGGTTTAGATTGGATATTAGGAAAAATTTCTTCATGGAAAGGGTAGTCAAGCATTGGAACAGGCTGCCCAGAGAGGTGGTGGAGTCACCATCTCAGCTCTGAATATCTTTTTTTTTCCTCTCCATGAAGACACCAATCAGAATAGAAGAGCTACTAGAAAGTATAAAGTTAAGTATTACATTTTGGCCACATCTTGAACTGAGAAAGGGACAAAGGGGGACACTGGTTCTGTTTTTATCTAAATAAATGAAGGGGCAAATACTGAAACAGAAAACTCTACATCCTATGAACACTTTTTACACAACAGAAGACTTCCAAATAGTAGGAGCAAAACACTAACAAGAAAAGTCAAAGGATCTATTCAGAGATTAATGGGTATGTGAGTATTACCTGCACCAGTAGTAGATATGAGTTTGGGCTTGCTACGTGCTCCATCACCTTTTGTTGTATAGGCTGTCACAGTGAAGGAGTATGTAGTTTCAGGCTGAAGCCCAGAAATTATCATTTCCTAAGATGAAATAAAACAAGAACAATTTATTAAAAATAGATTGTTTTCCAGGAGATGATGGAATCCTTCGGACAACCCCTGTATATTACATACAGTGCGCACGCTTTTGTGCTACTGGCAGTGATAGCAAGCATTTGAGAGCACCAACAGACTGTTCTGTGTGAAATACTTCATAATGCAAGATGTTTCACTCACTTAGGCAATAAAAGAAAGCACACTTCTAAATAGCATGCCACAGGTAGTTTAAGGCACAAGGCCAAAGGCTTAGCGGTGTGAACAGTGAATAAAGCCTTCTAAAATACCTTGCCTGAGGAATACTTCTGATATTGTGAAACGCATGCACATGTAGATATGAGAAATTCCATTTAACTTAGCCATTTACAGGATATCACTGCTACAGTTATAAAATGCCTAGTAAGAAGAGTGTTGCATTTGTATCAACACTTTGTAAGTAATAATGGTTTAGCTGAACAAGAAAGCCTTGTTACTTTCATAACACTTTCATTGCAACCTGTGTCACTGGTTGGATTCTTCATCTACATATTTCAAAGGACTTCAGAAACAACTCACACATCAGGCCTAAAAGAACTATGTAAAACACCATTAAAAATCTGTTCACAGAATAAATCTGACGGCCCTCAAACAAACGACAACAGCTACAAAACAAGTAGCTCTTCATTTAGCACAGGTGAACAGAAGCAAGATCAAACTGTGTCAAAGCAAGGGGAATCTTTTTACACACGTGCGTGCACACACACATATACACATGCACAAGATGGTGAAGGGCCAGCCACCTGAAATGAATTAAACTGATTTCATGCTGTAAGGGCAGCCAGAGGAACGTAAGCCTTGACATTCATGATACAAATAAATTTTATATGCAAATATAAAAGGACAGTATTTGGAGGCAACTGACTGGACCAAAGTTCCTGACTCATCAGCTCCCAGTCTGTAACCACTGGACTACAATTCTGTATTTTCACATGCCTGAATGGATTTACACTAAATTTCACTGCTGCCAGTCAGAGAGTATATTTATGGATCTAGAATAAACAGCAAATGTGCAATCACACATGCCTCAAATGCAATAATCATAAAAATTAATATAAAAATTATGAGTCAGACTATCCACAGTAAACAGATTTTTCAACATAGTGCGTACGAGCTTAGTACAGATGTGATTAGAATTCAGCATTGTATTTACAGTCAGTTATTAGCAATACAGAAATAACAAGGTAATGATCAGAACGAGTGGGCAAAATAGCTCAAACAAAAATGTGTTAAAAAAACCGATAGGCCTCCCCCTTCCTTAGACTATATCTCAGAATTGAATTGACCCTAGAGGCCAAAATCAGTAAGACAGACTTCTAATCTTTCATAAGGAAACTGCACCTGATATGAACAGAATAAAATTGTAAAAGGCAAAAAAGAAATTTCCATCCTTTTAAACAGTGAGGAAGATATTAGCCTCATCTAAAACAAATAGTACTTCATGGTGTAAGAGATATGATTGCATATAGTGTTGTCATTTAAAAGTGTGATTTGGATACAGCAAACACTATTACTTAGGCATAAACACTACAGGGCATTTGGCTTTCCTGATAGCATACAAAATACATTTATCAAATTACCAAAAGAAAGCACAGCTCACTTCAACTCTGAGCTACAAAAAAAAAACCAAAAAAACAAACCTTACAATGAATACAGAAAAATCTGACTATTGCTAAACAACTCTGAACCACTTTTTTTTTTATTTTTTCTAACACCTTGTAAAGAGGAAATTGTGAAGCAAAGTTAGTGACAGCCATCAAAAAGAAGAAAACACAAAGCAGTTCTGTACATTTTTGGCATCATACTAAATGCCAGAACAAGCAAGCAACAGTAACCCCCACTGTCCCTGGGAAAAGATAAAAAAAAAAGGAAAAAAGTGCCATAAGGGAAAAACCTTTGATGTTAGGAGCATGCATTTGTGCAAATGACAAAGAAAAAGAAAACCAAAGAAAACCCCAAAAAGTAAAAGCAGGCTACAAGCAAACAAGCAAAAAGGAAAAAAAAAAAAAATCCCAAACCCAACACACACTGTTTTTCTGGCCAGTCAAAAACTACTCACATGTTCAGTAGTATCATCGTATTCCCACTGATTGAGAGTAAAGAATGTTGGAAGGAAAAACAAAAGAAATGAAGAGATTTATAGCCTGGTTGAGGTAATGTTTTCTTCTTAAGAGTAAAATAAATGTGGAAGATGTCTGAAAAATCATGTACAACTTGAATTAATCATGTAGAATCATGTAGAATTTGGTTAATGAAATCAGGCCAGGCATTTTTAATTCCATTTCTGCTCTCCCTAAAAAACAGTCACTTCTCTTTCCTTGAAAGGTGAAAGAAGTAATGAATCCTTTTGTACCATGTAGTAATATTTTATAATAGATTGTATTAGTAAAAGCTACCAAGGCAGAATTAAAGGCTGCCTGGTTTATTTAATCATGTTACTAGGTTATATACTTGAGTTTCCTAAATTAATTCAATGCCTTGTTTAAATTAATAGTAGGATTTTTCAGTCTTGAAACCTAACCACACTGATTTCTTACCATCAAGGTCTTCATACCTGCACAAGCCCTGATCACATGTATCAGAGGTGTATGATAGGCAGGAAGGAGTGGCAGGAAGAGAAAAGAGGGGACTATACAGAGTGAACCAATGGCAAACAGGCAGGTTAAAGCCAAACTCAGGGAAAAAAAGAAATATGACTTCTGCCTTTATGATATTTGGGCTCCAGCATCTCATCTAGTCTCCCATTTCTGACCTTCTAGTGTTTAAATTATTTTAAACTACTACCATACAGAGGTTGACGGTGAAAATCTGTGCAAGGAATGGGAGAACCAAAGTACAGCAGCATCTCCTTTTCCATCTCCTCCCCCCCTTTCACCTTCCCTTCCCACCTCCCCACCTGTTTCCATCTTTCCCTCCACTGAATTTAAGCTGTAATTACACCATGTTTTTCAAAAGTGATAAGTAAGTACGTATAGATAGATAGACAGACTGGCAGGTAAAACTGCAACAAAGACCTCCAGGAACAGAGACAATACTTTGAGAACAGGGTCATCAGCAAAATGCAGGTGCAGGAGACCTATTCTCCATAAAGGTATCTGCAGAGCTGAAATTTAGAACTAAGACTGGAAGAAGAAACAAAAGAAACCAAAAAACATTTATTTATTCACATAAAATGCTTAAGAGGCAAATTTAACTCTTTACTTTATGCTAGGTTGATAATTATAATTTCTAGCCATTCCAGTCATAAATTGAGAGCTAGCAGTGAGAGGTCTGTTCCTGGTAATAGTTTCAATGTAGGATGATTCCTCCAGTACCAGGAGCTTTGGGAATCTTCAGTTTTACAGAGCACTAGTGTATCCCAATCAGTAAAATCCTGTTTTTAGAAGCTTTTTAAATTCGATGTGACCAGGCTTTTGTTTTCATCATGTCTCATAATTTATAAAACAGATGGGAAAATTTGCAATATAAGTAACCCCATACCTATTTTAACTAAGTGCCTCATTTTATTGCACAGTTATTGATATAAATAATGACAAGTATAAATACCTTGGTGATTTCTAAAGTTGCACTAACAAATTAATTTCCTGCGAAATGCGTGGTGAGGTGGACACATGCTAATGACAGAAACACTGTAATAATGGGCTAACACAGGATTCTAATGACTCTAGGTTCTCCACTGAAACAAAGAATTATCAGGTGGGTGGATCAGGCAGTGCACAGTTTGCTACACTGACTACGACCTGGCTCAGATCCCCCTGACGCTTTAAAACTTCAGAGTGTAGGTATAGGGTGAAGTCTCCAGGTTTAAGGGAGCCAGCAGAATGACACAGCTTAGCATTTAGTTGCACATCTATGCAGAAAAGGGTACCTAGACTTGGCCCAAGAACCTTTAAACATAAATATTCTGGAAAAAAAGTTGTTAAAATAGAGATAAAATATGTTAGCTGATAGGCTAAAATACAGAAAGAAAAGGCAGCTCTCTGGTACACAAAATGTTTTCACTGTGGCATAGAAAAGAACATAAAATGCCCTAATTACCTGTGCATCAGCCAGCATGATGTCCTTCAGCATGGGCTGACCCTTTGGCTCTCCATTTTCCATCTTCACATAGTGGACCTGGTATCCTCGGATCTGACCATGCTGCTTATTGGGTACAGGTGAGCGCCATGACACTTTAACAGCAGTAGAGTTGACAGCCTCTACCTCGACTTTGCGAGGAGGACCACTAGGAACTGGAACAACATCATTGGACAGAAGAGAATTACAGGCACCTGTCCCACCCATGTCTTTTGCTTTTTTTTAAAAGGGCAGACTCACTATGTTTTCTTTGAAGAATACAAATTGTTCAACAAATGAAAATGCTCAACCAAATCTGCTCTACCTTTCAGTGAAAAGATCAAAAAACATGACTGATGCAAAAAATGGAAGAAAAAAGAGTATTAGAGAAATACAAAAACATGTAAAAATGTACAAAAGCCAAGGAAGATGCTTTGAGATTCAAAGCATTATAGTACAAAGAGATATTTTAATCATTGAAATAATACTACCACTACTAATAATAAAAACACAAAAGATTTCAAAAAGATTTCCTTTATTTTTGTTTGCTAAATTCTGTTTAATTTTTTTTTTTTGGTAGTATAAAAAGGAGGCTGATAATAGGGCTGTCTTCTGTCACTTTCAAGCATGGGAGAAAAGAAAATGTGTGGAGCATCAGTTTTCCAAGATCAAAAGCAAAACTCAAAAAAAAAAAAAACACAACCCAAAAAAACCCAAATCAAAAAGCACAACATGGAACAAGAAAGCAGTTAAAAAAAAAACCAAAAACCACAAAACCTGAAAAAAAGTTCATAGACATAAGTGTTTAAAAATAACAATGACTGTAAAATCAAGGAAAAGGCAGAAAGATAACCCCTGAGAGTTATTTTTATGTTAAAGGAGGAGCAAGAAGGATATCTATGGGCTCAAAGGGGCAGCAGATTCATGTCACTCACAAAAAGGTACTTTCTGTTAAAAAAAATAAAAATACCAAATATAAAAATGGTGTAGAAAGGACAAGTCTTTGATTAAAAAACTCAAAGGCTGATAACATCTGTGATTTGGGAAAAAAGAGGAGCAGAAAAAATACTGTTAGGCTATACAAAAGACAGCAGATCGACAGAGAGTCATGGAGGCGCAAACTGATGTAGTGGAGGCAACATACCATCTTCATCTGTCCGAATCAATACTGCTAAGCTCTCTGGGCCAGGTCCAACATCAGTGTGGGCAGTCACAGAGATCCGGTACTCAGTCCATTTTTCCAGGTGTTCCAAAAGGTATTGGGTACTGTCCGAGGAAATTCCCAAAATTTCATGGGGCTTGACATCTTCTCCATCAATCCCAATGTACTTGATGGAGTACTCAGTGATAATGCCATTCTGTTTTTCCACCGGTGGAGGCTTCCAACTTACCAAAATGCTAGTGGAGCTGGGGCTTGTGCAACTAATGTCTTGAGGAGGAGCTGATGGCTCTAATTTCAGTAGTGGGTTAAAGGAGGATTTGAGTGAAAGGATAGGAGTGATTGAAAAAAATGAACAAAAGAAAGAATAAAAATAAATAAAAGACAACCAAATTAAAATAAAAAATAAACAAAAAAAAGTAGAAACTTAAAAAAGCAAAGCGTCAGGTAATCATGTGCACCTTGGCTTATTAACATGAGGAAACTGAAAATGAATAGACCAATTAAATGGTGAAAAAGGATGTAGGGGAAATATATGAAAATGAAACCTCAAAATAATATTACCTACCTGTAATTAAAATTCTTCTTGAAATAAAACAAAAATGTGACACTTTTATGACTACTGATCTATCTTTTTATAATCCTTGCAATTAGTGCAAGCTACAATATTTTAAATTACAAGTGACATGTATTTACTTACAAATTTGGACATAACCCCTTCAAGCGGGTTTACTTTCTTTGAGAAAAATTCTCTTTTTACAGAACTCCTAAAAACTTGCAGTAATTGCTAGATATTGCTCCATAAATTGCTATTTTTGTAGCCTCCCCACTCTTATAAACAAATTACTATCTTTTCACTTTTTTTTTTATAACTGAGTCTGCCTGGCACAAGTCAACCTCAAATTACATTTAAATGGAGAGCTTTTACTGAAACATTTATTGTAGCCAACATACTAAGAGCATGCAGCAATAGAAGATGAAGAAAGTCTTAGTCAAAGATTTACCTACCAGGAAAAAGTGACAGGCTTGTTGATTCTGACTGTAACTTGTACTTACCCTAGATCAGCTGTCAGTTTTATTTTTTTAACTCCTCTTGGAGATACCTTTGCTAGCAAAGAATTAAATGCTACCAGTAATTTAGGTAACTTCTATAGGGGAAAAGAAAAATCTACCCCCAAACAACGTGTCAAGAAAGCAGGTATTCATTTTACAAAGAGAGTTCACAAGCTCAGCACGTCAGAACGGTGAAAGATTCTGACTTTGTTTTGTCTCGTCACCAGCACCAATCTTCGAGAGCAAAAGTGCTCACCTTTACTGATCTGTACTCGAAAGAGTTTCTTAGCATATTTATCTTTTCTGGGCTCCAGAGCATTTAAACATGTATGTCATTCCATTGCTTTCAGTGAGACAGTTCAAGTACTGAAAGTTAGGTATGCATTTATGTGCTTAAACGCACTTTGGCTTAGCAAAGTCTATGCTTACTAACTGAGAGCATTCAGAGCACCAAAAAAGGAGCTGTAGTTCAAATTCAGTGACAGAAGTAGTGGATGTGGAGTCCTCTCCTATTTCTGCCTTCTCTCTTGTAAGGAAAACATAAATTTTGGGTGCAAGATCTTTATGGTGTGCTTTTTTTTTTTTTTTTTTTGTGCCTACTGTTTTCTTCCCATTTCTCAAGGGAAAAAAGAAACAAATGGATTTCTGGTACTTATACTAGGCACATCAAACAAAATTAAAGCAACAGAGCAGGTCTAGGACCCCGCGGTGACCTATTGCATTTACACATGTATCTTTCGGTTCCCTACAGCTCTTCTACAGGGATCAATGGCTGTTTACTCAGTATGGTCCACTGCTCTTCTGAAGGGAAAACAGGAAGGAATGTACCAGCATTTCAATTAACTAGAGGAGGAGGATGGGGGGACAGAAGACAATTATTACATTTACTTGAGGGTTTTTTACGCTAATTCAGTAATCAAGTACTCCAAACATGTTGGTCCCCTTCTACCATCGACTTGTGCAGGAAGTAAAATACAAGTAAAATGTTCCTTAAGGATCTTATATGTAAAGAAATAAATCCCTGTAGCATCCTTCTCTGAAATCAAGATGAAAGGCAATAGTGTATTCTCATGAATATTGCTAATAAACTCATAGAAGTTTATTAATTTTTAATCCATTATATTCTGAAAATGCAAAATATTGCATTTATGTAACTAAGGATAATCTCTAGGCTACTTGTGTAGCCAGTTTTGTTAATGTATATACTTTTTTCTTAAAATATACAATTTTTGCAAAAAAGATTTTGCAATCTTTTCAGCAAATAACCAGGGTCTTCCCACTGAAATCAATTGCGTTTTCCTGCTATCTGAAGACATAAGGCTGAAAAAAGCATAATATATTCTTCTGTTCAAGAAAGGAAAAATGGCAATGTGCTTATATATGGAACATGCAACCTTGGCCCCTAGATGTTTTTTTTTTTTTTTGTATGCACAGTCTAAGCAATCTTCACCCAATATAACAGAATGAGCATTCTAAATAGCTGAAATGGCTCCCAGAATAAATAAATACCTTTTTCTTCATCGAATTATTGATTCTTGATTACTAAAATTAGAAGGTGCCTCAGCACTATTCCTGAAACTAGCCTTGTGTCATATAATGGTCTTTTATGCTTATTGCAAATGCCTTATAAATGCTTCAGAAGCACATTTAGCTTTGGTTAAAGTTCTGCAGCACTGTATCTCCAGTCACACTAATTACTATTAATATATAACACTAACAAAGAATGATGGTGTAATCACATCTGTCATGACTGCAAATTAAAAATCTTCCATATCAATTGAGAATCTGAATTTTCTGTTTTGAATAATATTACTTTAAGAAAAGGCCATGTAATTTAAACCAAATACAAATAGAATTGCACTAAGTTTTAAAATGACACAGTGTAATGCAAACTGTCAGGAAGGCATAACTTATCAGGCAAGAGCAGCACTTCTGATATCATCCTTGAATATCTGATTGTTTTAATTAAGTCTTAATTTAAATATTTTAAAATGCATATATAAATCCCTGAGAAATTTTTCACCTCATTTGCAGACAAATGTGATGACATTGTTTCCATAAGCATCCAGTGAGAAAACAATTTTTCTACTGGTGTAAAAAATGACCGAATATCACAAAAGACCTAGATTAAAAAAAATCTGACAAAATCAGAACGGTTAGCTACTATAGAAGAACAGTTATGAGGAAATTTTTGGTACAGTGTGAAATATTCAACCTGGTCCACTCTACAAATTTTTTGTACTTCAGGGAAGTGCTTCAGGAACAACCTACTATTACAGGAAATTTGCAGACTGGGCAGGTGGAATTTTATGGGTGGAGGACTGTTATTGATGTACATCTATTGCATGATAAAACACTTTATCCTATTATAACATAAAATAAAATATTATGGTGACAGCATAACATTGTATCCTTAGACACTGATTTACAGGGTTTCTTTCTGAAACTATGTAAGAGCCACTCATATATTAAGCTGATCACAATACACCTACACATTTTAAGCATGCTTTTGCTGTATTAAGCACCGTGAATGCTGTATTTTGCTTCTTTCTCTGTTGCTGTATCTCTAGGCTACTGAGATTAATCTCTTTGAGAAATACAAGACAAGGGAATAAAGTTAGCAAGGAATGACACCTACTTGACTGCATGGTTCTCGCTGAGATTTCTGCTGTTGAAGCACCCAGGCCTTGCGGAGAACGTGCAGCTAGACGGAATACATACAAGCTGTTTGGCCTTAAGCCTTGCAAGCGATAAGACGTAGTAGGTTCAGTGGAAACCCGTTGCTAAAAGTAGGTAATAAGAGGATGTCTTGATTAATATTCAGAGACTCTGAATTCCATATGTTGCATATAGAAGAAATGCTTTTACACTCTGATGATAACCTCATTGAGAAAAATTTAAATTCAAGAAAATAAATCAGAACAAAACCAAACTAAACCAAACCAAAAATTAATATATTACTTTCAACAAACACACGTTAAGGAACAATATTTTTTAAAGTTGACAGCTTACTGGGTGAAACTCAGAGCCAGAAATACTGTTTGTCTGTTTAAGGAAGTAATAGCTGCGTACAAAGTACGCACAATTTTCACACAATAACACATGAACAAAGCCTTACCTATAGTTACCTCTTATGACAGTGAACTACAGGGTTTTATAATGTAAGTTATGTTGGGTTTAACCTCGTAGTTAAATTTGCGTTCAAGTTACAAAGAAGCAAATTCTTCCAAAGGGTAACTTATTAAGCAGGGGCCTGCATCCTATTTGGAGTGAAATACGGATCTAGCCCCCTTCCACAAAATAAGCTTATGCATTCACGGGATATGTGTGAAGGCACCATAAACATAAGCTCAGTTGAAGTATCAGCAATGAGTTGATGATGCAGGAGAAATCAATGAGGCTGACACTCTCCTGCTGCCTTCTGAGACTGACGGCTTCTTTCTTTTGTCTGGGACACCTGGCAATATCACATGGTTTCCATATCAGAACAGTTTATGCTAAAGTCTACAGTACTAACACAACAGAGACCCTCAAACTGAAAATTCTTTAAGAAATAATGGTACAGAAAAAGTCCATAGCAGGTTTTTATCTTTAGAAAAAACCCATCTTTTCTTCTCAAATATTATTGAAAAATTAGAGAAGCTTGAGAACTCTCTCACATGGTGGTAAAGAGAAACAAAAATTCTCTAAGGCTGAAAATAGACTTCAAAGTCCAAGTGTAAGTGCAAAAAATGTTAGTGACTCCATAACATGCCCCCAAATGCTTCTGCTTCCAAGCTTTTGTAGAGGAACAGACTTGGAGAGACATGATCAATGTCTGAAACTGGATGTGACTTCTACAGATGACTTGTTGCAAAGAAGAGCAAAGTTCCACTAGCTGGTAACCATCCACAGCATTTTCTGCTGTTTTACAGACACTCTCAGTCTATTGTTAGGCTGACTGCTGGCTTTAACAAACTGATAAACATCAAGGCATTTGTACTAGAGAAAGTTACTAATCCATCAATTCTAAACCATTGCACCATTTTATGCCTGACTCACTAAAGAGTATTTAAAAAGATGTATAGTCTTTTCACTTACCTCCTCCCCATGCTCCCCATCTTTGTAAACCAGTTCATAGCTGGAAATGGTATCGGAGCGTGGAGGTGTCCAGGAAAGTAATATGCTTGTTTCAGACTCAGGTTCTGCTTTGAAGTTCAGTGGCTGACCAGGAACTAATGAAAAAGTTGAGCAGTATTGCCAGTTGTTTATTTGGCTAGTTCAACACTTATCTTTCAAACCTTTTAAAGTATTAGCTGAGTATTTCACACAATGTTACTTTTATTGAACTTACTGAACTTAAACAAACTGATTAACTGTAGTATGAAATAAACAAATCTGAGCTCAGAAAAAGAATAATGATATATTTAATTCACACATTACAAATTATCAAGGATTTCAAATAAATCCTTCTTAGTGTAAATAATGCACACAGAACTGAAATGCAATTGAACAGAGACCTGGTGATGAATACCAGCAATCTAATAACCTGTGTGTGAAATGGTGAATATGTATATGTATATGTATATGTATATGTATATGTATATGTATATGTATATGTGTATATGTGTGTGTATATGGGGAAATGCTAGTATTATGCTAGTATTATGCTAGTTGGCTGGAATAGTCAAGACGAAAGTGTTAAAACCATTACACACATTTCCAAATCTGAAAATGGTTTACACAGCTCTTAAATAACTAAGATACTAAACACATCCTGCTCTTTGACACCTAAGTAACGAATGCTTTTGTAACCTGAAGAAGTTATAACCTACTGAAGAGATCTTCAGTAATGTTCTCAATAAGTGACATATTTCTACCCTTTTAATGACAGCTATTTTTACCAATATAGCTGAATTTCTATTAACAACACTTTTTAATTGCAAGAACATGCTCTGTTGTTATGTCTTGTGTAATGGGCACAGAAATTATCCAGACTAAATGTCACCCTCATTTACTTCTGCAAATCTATGGCAAATAGTAAGGTTGCCTGGAAAAAGACAGCAAAATATAACCCTGCCATTGGAACGTATACACTCATTTCGGCATGCAAGTTCTAAAACATTACTTTCAGTTAACAGGGTTCTTGATAAGCCATGAAACGGTCTTCCGCAGCATTTCTAGCTTTTCAAGAATAAAATGTGCCATGCTCTTATTTTTTAAGAAAAAAAAAAGAGATGCACTTCTTAGCACATAGTTGAGAACAGGTGTGACAAGTAAGATGTGACAATAATGATTGTTTCACAATCATTTTTCGGGGTAGAATTTTATTATAGCATTACAAGTACGTGTCTTTTGTACAGTAAAAGACTTAAAAACACTATGGAGCAAACAGTAAAAATAATTTGTGATTGTAATTCTTATCTTCCCCAGACTTCTACAGAATGTCACTCTGAGGATAACACTGTCCTCATGTACGCTGGTGCAGGTTTGATATCTAACCTTTAAACAGACAGATAACCCGTCAACATGAGGTGCATATTCAAGCTCCTGTGTGGAGGTTAAAAGTCCCTACCATTCACTTTTTTTCCTTCAGAAACAGGACAAAATAGAAAAGGAAAGGTGTAGAAGGATGTTGCCTATTTCTGAGGGGATGAGTGAGGGTGAAGAGGAGACCAAGTCTCTTTACGGGAAGACTAGAGGATAGGAGTAATTAGCTATTTTTCTAAGATGTCTGGTGTAAAAATAGACCACTTCCTGGGTACTGCAAAGTGCAAAAGGGAAAAGATCACAAAGCACAGGGAGCAATTACAGGAAATATCAACAAAGTATTTTTGACAGAAATACTTTAATTTTATCCTTTTAAAATTGAATGGATTTGAAATTAAGAGTGAGAGAGCAGATAACTGGATAATTCCTAACTTTGGAATAGATTCTGAAATACCACTAGATCAAACTTTAACTTGGCAAATCTATAGCACAGTTGTATAAATGCATTTCCTAGGTGAACATTACAAATTTTTAGGTTAGCTGCTTCAAAACACTTCTGAGTAACAACGAGACAACAGCTGCAGGTTTGCCTTCTGTTGAACATGACTTAAAGTAGATGTGGAGCCCCACCGAAGGCTTGCCAAAACTTAATAAAATCTGGAGTCTAGGCAGCTACTTGGAAGTGTTTATTTTGCTACAGGTTGTTCCAAGTGTATCTCATGAAACTCGGGTGGGTACCTGGCTGTAGGCATTTTGTTTGCTTCATCTGACAAAAAGATAAAAACTGGTAAAACTGACCAGTGGAAAAAATTATTTTCTGCAATGTGTGTCAAAGCATGGGGAAAAAATTATTCCGGCAAAGTAACTGAGCAGCACAGCTGGAGTTACAAAATCACCTTTGCCTGGTCATGGAAGGTCAAATAGCAGCTTATGTTATCTGTGCCATGCTATCCATCTTGTTTTTGACATCTCTATCAATGACCTGGAAGAGGGGATGGAAGGCACACATTCCAGGTTTGCAGATGACATCAGGCTCGGGGGGACTAGCTGACACACTCGAGGGCCAGGCTGCTGTTAAGCGGGAGCTGGAGACCGGGGAGAAACAGGCCGATGGTTCCCCATGGAGTTCAGCAAGCCCTGTCCTGGGAAGGCAGAGCCCCTGCAGCGACTCATATGAAGGCTGGTACCATCTGTTATGATAAATATGGCAGCAGATAGACAACGAAGGGTATTTCTTGTCTCTGCACATTTTAAGACCCTCATCCTCCAAGTATTCCTTTTAAAAAAAAACCCTTTATGGTCTAAGGTCTGCAATTCTTTATCATTTTGTTAAACAAGTTGATGGTTAATTACACTTTCCCAAATTCTGTTTGTCCAAATGACACCTTGCTGCAAAATCTAGTCTCCCCTCACATTTTTCAACCACAGTTAGGCAACTCTGAAGCTGAAAACACTGACAGAAGAAAGAGGTGACAGGGAAATGTGCATCACTCCAAACAGATAGAGAAGATGCAGAAGAAAGAAAACAAAAACAAAGTAACAGAAAAGAAACAAACTGTAGTGCTGATAAAATCTGGTAGGGAACCCAAGGCTTAATCCAAAGAAGAAGTACCAGATAGGAACGTGGAACAGTAACTTTTAAATTATTTAGGATTTATGCCTAGAACATACAACATCTGTTCAAAAAATTCTTCACTGGCACATGGGAACTAAGTCAAGCTGCAGGAGCTGACAGAAGGTACTCGTCTCCTTCAGAGGCAGAAAAACCTAGGGAAACTGGAAAATCTATGTGAGTGGACCTGTCACTCATGCTGAAGTGTTTTTAATTACACAGGTCAAATCTAACATTCCATATTAGTGCTGTATATGGTTGCTCACTGAATGGGATCTTTTTGCAGAGGCAGTCTCTCAATATTGTCTTTTCTGTCTTTTCTGCTCTGAGGTAAATGTGTCCTACAAATGTACAGTGAAACCCGTAATTTCCCTGCGCACCGAGTATACCTTTTCTTATTTCTTGCTTGTGAACATGACATAACTTAGGTAGTACACACAATGAAACACTACAATTCAGTGACAAAACAAAGAATGAAGTCCAGAATTACTCTTTTCAAAACTTCATACCAAGTTCTACACCTTTGCTTGTCTAGTCCTCCATGTTTATTGCTGTATAACCAGAAACAAACACAGATTCCTGGACCTTGTCCTGCATATGTGGTTCTATGTCCCTGATTCAAGTCCCAGAACAGAATCATAAAATGGGATCTCAAATTGGAAAGGCACTTTAGTTCCATCCACAGCTCCTCAGCTGGTTGAGGTAACCAGAAAAACACACCAGGGCTGTCCTGGGTTTGCAAGTGATGCTGGAAAGAGAGGAGAGTCTCCAGGCTAGAAAGGGCCCCAGGACATTGCTAGGGTCAAATGCATATCTAGAGCAAAACTCAATCAGTTCAATTAGGAATCAGTTTTGCAAAGGTCAATAGATCATCAAGAGAATTTACAACTAGTTGGGAACTGAAAGGGACCAAGAGTTCATGCTTCTGCTTGCTCTGGAAGAAGCGTGAAGCTCTACAGAGAAGCTCTTAGAAGACTTAATGTGCTCTGGAGTTTTTGTTTTGTAAAAAAATACTTGCACTTTTTGAAATACCAAATTCTCATGGAATATAATTACAAAATAAAACAGGTAATGTACTAATTATATGTTCATCCTGCTCTTCCTCCGTCTTTCTGCTACAATAGAAATAATCTCTTCAACTGAGTCTGAAGACAGCTGAGGGTTGTAGTTCTGCAGTATCTAACACAGAACCACAGTATTCAAAATAATTAACTACAATACATTTTAAATGTCCAAAAAGCACAGCACATTTTGTGAAAAACAACCAAAAATCCATAAATCACTTTCTTAAAATAATAAGTGTAACTGACATTGAGGGAGCCCACAGAATAAAATAAACACTTGGTCAATCTTAAAGACAGAGTCTTTATAGTCTTGTCTGAATGACTAGTGAACACAGTGAAGAGACGAATTATTCTTCAGAGTAATTCTGTCTACACTCTATTTCTACAATGTAGAAGTAGAGTTGTCTTAAAATTATTTCAGGCTGCATTCTTCCATACTTAAGTTCAGTGACAAAAGTAATGTGTGCACATTTCCAGTGCTCATCCACATATTTGCAAAAATCAGAATTACGGACTAGAAAAAAAATTAGCTTAAAAAAGAAATCCCATATCCATACCCTATTTTGTATTCTAACCAGAAGAAAGACAGGGAGATTAAAAGCTAGAAAATCACTGTGTGAAGGTAAGATCCTCAGTATTGGTCTCATCATGTTAGCATTTAAATGAAGTAAACACAGAGACTGGGGCACTTAACAGAATTTAACTGTGCTTTGAGAGCAGAGGGGTTATTCAAAAGCTGCAATAGCCTTTCCTACCTGACCAGGAATGTTCCTTAAGGGGAATTTTGTCACTTAAAAACCATCCTGTACCCCACCTCAGCTCCAAATTATTCTCCTTCTACCTGTTTCCTTGCATCATAGTTGAGTTTCCAGCTGCATGCTCTCAACCCTTCCCTTGTGGAAGCCCATTTCCATGAAATGCTTCACTAGGAGACTAGTACTGTGGAGTTTCAGAGACATGAGGTTCCCCCGTTCGTGTGTTCATGAAAAGGTTTGAAATGTCTGGCAAAGTAGATAGCTTGCTACAACACAGAACTGTATTCTCTTGCTAGACTCCCTTCCTCTGAATTTCTAATCTTCTTTTGCAATAGGAACTCCAGAACCATTAACTCACTTCCCTTAAGTTAAGGCTTTGTTTATGTGCCCTGCAAGTCAGAGATTTGACCTTCGCATTACTGTCCTTTTCCATATGTTCAAAAGATTAGCCTTTTATAACTGTAATAATCCTTAGTCTTCAAACCACTGCCAATTCTTGGTTTAAAATTAACAATATGTTTTCTATTGTAAGTTCTTGTTTAAAGAAGCATATGTTGACAGGTACACATTCATTTCCCAGAGTCGTGTATCTCTCACTCTCCCCTCTTTCTACCTAAGCTCAGAATAAAAACAGGATTCTCTGAATTCCTTCAATAGCTATCCTCTCTTTGCACATTAAACCCAAACCAAATGAAGCAAAACCAAACCAAAAACAAATCCAGACATTCAGTTTAAAGCTCAAGAATTTTCCTGGTACACACAGGTTAAATAAAGTATGTTGCTCAGGGAGTATGTGTGCTTCAGATCAGCTTAAGCAAAGAAAGGAAATATGAGAAGATACATAAGAAGTGTGTCCTGGGCAGCTAAATGGAGACAAACCAACAGAGCTTTTGTTTGTTAGTGAAGTAAAGAAAAAGGACAAGAAGTATCACATTAAAGCTTATACTGATATCTCTTTATTTGTTAGTAAGTCAATCCACCTAAATAATATACTGGTCCTGACTCCATCCTCATCAGAATCAAATCTTTTGACCCAAAATGCAGAATAAGAACTTCCTTAGGTGTAGCTTTTGGAATTGGTCTTCCCTTATTCAAAAGGCTCAGCTCTACAGCTGTTTTATGATTACTTAATTTCTTAAAATGGTGTCTTTTACGGTAAATAAAACACTGCTGAAAACAACAGCGTGACAGGACATGGCTTTTCCTTAAAATGCGTAAGCAGAATACTGAAACACAAAACTGAACATAAAACTTTTTTTTCTAATGTTTGGTTGCCTGAAAAATGCTTCCTTTTCTTCCCCTCAAACTACATGTTCCTAGTTAATATTTGAATTAGAAACCTAATTTTCACTATTGGCAGAGTTTTGGCTGACCTGCAAAGTGAAAAGCCACTCATACAGCCATTTCATAAGAACAATTCTGCTGTACTTCGAAAGTACTGAAAGCAAGGATTCTCATAAACAGACTTTTTTTTAAAAAAAAAAAAATCGTATTTTTATAATCTCTCTCCAGAGATCAGAATACAGATAAGGGAGGAAAGTTTTGGATGAAACCAAGCTAACAGAGCCTGTAAGTGACAGCTGTCTATCAGATTTTGTTTTATATATACTGTAATATCCCTAAAGTAAGCATAAGGGTTAAGCTACATATTTAGAATGACAGGCTTATTTGTTTCAAAAAAGGAAAAAAAAAAATCAATCAAAATATAATCACCATCCCATTCCTATTTTTACTCTTTTACTTATGTTTCCATTAAATCCATTTCTGCTGTTTTTAAATGGCACTTTATAATTCACTATATTTATTTGGATGAGTTTCAGCTTAAGAGAGACTTAAACCAAAACAGTCATATTCAGATTTAGATTACAACAAATCTGGAAGAGAAAGGCAAGGAGGGCATTTTATCCTGCAGTGTTCACTGAAGAGAAACTACTGGATAGAAAGATGGAAGAATCTTTATTTTTAAACATACCCTGAATTGGAGAACTGCAATAGACTTTCTTAGCTACGTTTCTCTTTTATGACTTAAAATGTTCATATTTCAAGCACAACACTCAGTGCTTAAAAATGCCTCCCTTATGCCACATTTTTGGTTTTCTTTTGATTTTTAACATAGTCACAAATAAACAATGTCAAGCCAACTCTGTTACAAAGTTGAAAACATGTATTGAGAAGCCCTCCTGCACTGTTAACTTTGTCATAATTTCTTCAGATTGCAACAGTAATCGGAAACAGACACACACGTTTAATGGCAAATTCTATAAAGGTTTTTAATAAACAGAGCTTTTCTGAAGTGACCTCAGCAAGTAATGTAACTTGGGCTGGTCCAGCTGAGCCTCAGTGCTCGTTACTTTGATTGCTTCATCCTTCTCTGGGGAAGCCACTGACAAACTCTTGCTCATCTAAAAGGTTTATGGTTGTATGTGAAAACACAGATGAGGAGCTCACTAAACCTCCTTTAAAAGCTTTTTGCACATGGATTCAGAAAGAACTGAGACATCAATATAAAAACTAGTCCCTGAAAAAGGTTACAATTGCCAAAATTACATTATGGTGTTCATATTTACATTTGCATGTGCACAGACATGTTTTAATGTACCACTAGATGGTCTAAAGAAGTTAATTTACTAACTTCTCGGCTGAGATACTGCAAAAGGTAACACCTAGACCTTTGTGTAACACAATACATAGAAAGGTTCCAGGACAGTATCTCCATTTCTGTTATTTGTTAAATGCATATTGGGTAAAATGCAGAACTAAAAAGTGGATGAAATGTAACTGTCTTCAGTTACACTTTAGAGAGATGTTTTTTAAGAAATTGGGGGATGCTAAATTCTTCAACGAGAGACTTTGCAGTACTAAAAAATTTAAGTAGTCATATATTTCTAGGCAGTCACTGACCTACAGTAATACTTCATACAGCTTTCTCTAAACCACTAGACAGAGAGCTTTTATTTCTTATTGCTACAATAAAACACTTTCTGCAGTGTTCTGCAGAGCTTCTCGCTTTTGATTTCATAAAAATTCTCGGCAGCGTTTTTCACTATGCTTGCTTGTCCTTTGCTAATAAAACTAAGTCATGGACCTAAAACTCCTGTACAGAAACAAAACAACCTAACTGCAAACGTAAAATAAGAAAATGGTGACCTTGTGGTATGCACTTTGTAGGGGCAGTTTAGATTTGATTTATAAATCCAAAGTGTGCAGAACTGCTTGCTTGAACCTACACAAAGGTTTGTTGGTTTTTTTAATGTTTTCATGTTTTATGCGTTTTCAGAACCTTACCAACTATTTGAATACACATGGAGTACATATACACTTTAAATGCCCAAAAGCAAGATTCACTAGAGTGATGTAGCATAAGGGAACCACATGCCACCTAAACAAAACCCACCAACACAAAGAAAGTGTGTTGTTGCTCAAAGAAAGCTGTGAAGAACTACTTGGCAAACACTTTTGGTGCACAAAGCACTGCCAAATGGAAGCCATAATATTTGGCCACCTCCAGGATGAAGGTCTCCCTGAGACTTCAGTTAAACTTCCTGAGACTGATGAAAAAAGAAATGAAAGTGTGAGGGGATAATTTCCACTCTTCAATGATAACTTGTGCTGGGGAATTGAGAAAAGGTTATCTGCAAAAGCTGCCTGAATAAACTGGCTATCCTTGAGAGGAAGTTTTTTTCAACATTTTAAACTCAAGTTCTCTCTCTGCAAAATTTCTGCATGTATTTAATTTTTTTCACACCAATTCTGTTCATTGCTAGCTTACCTCCTGTTTGAGTGATGACTTGAATGTCACTAGAAAGTGGTCCATCCCCAACAGAAGTAAAAGCAAGAACCTTCACAGAGTATGTTTTCTGGGGTACCAGATTCCCAATAGTGGTAATATGGCTGTCAGCCACATTGTGCTTCATCCAACTGTTGACGTGTTGAGTGGGGTCCATGGTGTAATAAACTCTGTAACCTTGTATTTGTCCATTAGGTTCCTCAGGTTCTTCCCACTGTACCAAAATGGTGGTAGAGCTCAACATACGGGCCTGCACATTGCGTGGGGCACTCGAAGGTGCTTGCTCTGAAGTCCTTGTTGACACAGGCTCACTGGGTGGCCCTCGCCCAATGTTATTTACAGCAACTACCCGAAATTCATACTCTGAATATGGGCTTAGGCCAGCCACGCTATAGCGTGTTGTGGCCACCCCATCAATTTCTTTATATGGCTCGTCTGAGTTTTTGGGTTTGTGCTGGATTATGTAGTAAGAAACTGGCTCAGGGTTTCCAGAATCCCAAGTCAATGTTATGCTTGTTGCTGTGCTTTCTGTCACCACAGGTGTTCCAGGAGGTTTGGGTAAGGCTAAAGATAAATGCCAAAAAATACAGTTAGCACTACGTAGCAGTAGACATTAATTATTACAATAAGCACATTAAAACCAAAAAAACCCACCACCAACAATAAAAACAAAACAGGAAGATTGGAATGGAAAGAAAGTGTGATCTGTTCAGAGCAAGCTTTTGGCAACTGTGATTTACTCCAGAAATCTATCAGAAAACCTTAAAGTTTTGTAGTGTAAGATTTATTTGATATAAATTAATGATACTGACTTTTGTAATAGATCCCGTAAAAATATGCAGAAGAGGAATCTTATAAACAGACAGTGCACTATTACAGTTTAATTTTCAGACATTTTTGGAACCTCTAGTTTCCAATTACTCAGTGAACATGATACTTGGACAACTAGCAACTGTAAAAATCAAATGACTGGTTCTTAAAGGCTCCTACTCTTGACAAGTATATGCAAGATTACAAGATCCTTTATTTACCTGAAATGAAGGCTGGGAGCTAGACACAGGAGAATAATGGAACATAATGATTAACTTACTAGTACCACTGCTGTCTGAATCTGTATTTTGTCTTATGCCACTGACTGGCTGGAATTTTTACCCTCTTGATTTAAGAGGGTAAGAGGCATTTAGTCCCTTTCAGTGTAATATACTTGCTCAGAATATGGCAATGAATGAAAGAAAAGACTGAACTATGTCCAAATATATGTGCTTGTGATATACCTTTGACAGTTATCTGTGCTATTGCTTCTATAACACCAAGGGTAGACATAGCAACACAAGTATAGTTTGCAGACTGCCTGACATCATTAAGCTCAAGGACGTTCCTCCCTATTGGCATATCATCCTCAGGTGTCAAATCTTCTGCTCCTAGCATCCATTTCACATACGGCATTGGTGACCCCACCGCAACACATGTGATATTTACGCTCCCGCCAGGCATGATCTCATGGTTGGTGGGGGGGATTGAGAATCTCGGTGGGACCCGTCGAACTGGAACAAAACACAAAAAAAGGTAGTAACATATACAAAAAAACCCCTGAGTCTTGCATACGGACTACATGCAGTGTACAGACACAATTTAACGTTTTAACATGTTATTCTCATCTGCCAGAAAATATGTATAAAAGAAATATGAGACTAAACAAGAATTTTGTCTGCACACAATGTGAATTAGTCTATATTTACTTGAGGATATTATTAGGCACATTCATACAAAGGCTGATTCAGACCTATTAGGGCCCCACAGTTAACTAACTACATACTAACAATACACAAACACCATGCAAAAGATATACACACGCACACGCACGTGCGCACACACACACACGTGCACATATATATATGCATTTTATACGCCCATACATATATATATGCACAGAAGAAAACTGGAAGGTCAACAGCATGCTTGAGTTGATTACCAAAACCAACTTCAATGCTGCGTGCTTCCAGTTGATGTGAATAAATGTGCTAAGCCACATTGTCACATCACAGTCCTGGAACACATTGCCTACAGTACATTGAAAGTGCAATTTCATTTGCTTTCAGACTCAAAGTAGATGCAGCCTCAAGACCTCACACTAACACTGAAACAAACATAGAAAAAAATATATAATTACACACAGATACAAATATATATATATACACATATATATACATACACACACACACATACATATATATA